TTTTTGAAACTGCATGTGGCTAATTTTCGGCATCAATTTGATCCAACAGTAAGTGATTTGAAAGGCCTTCAAAAAGTTTGCTTATTCAGTCCAAGATGTTCAATCTTTGCTGGTACAAACCTCAGCTGCCAATAATTGCCCTTCAAACTGATTTGTATTTTACAAACAAGTTGCGTCAGTACACTAGTATTTATAAGAGAGTATCAGAGGATACATTGGCCACTTTTTCAAAACATTAAAGTTATCTTGGTGATAGGTGGGGGCCTCTGTATGTTTTTGATTAATTCATTTCTAATAGCATGAAAAAAAAAACTGTTAAAGCTTTAGTAACTAAAGAGAGCAATCGCATAATTATCTCAACAAGCTAGTAAAAAATAACACTGAATTATACACATTTCCATCCTATCATATGGTTGATCTCATAACAACAAAAAAATGAAGATATTGCATCACATGAATAGTTATTGAATCTTCTTCGATGAAACTTTCACCTAACATTACCAGGTACATAAAAAGAAAGGAATAATGCATTTTATCAACTGTTTTTTGCCACCTCTTGGCTTGCATTATAACCTTGCCATTAATTTTTGCAAGACTAAACTCGCTTTACTGAACTATACTAAGTAGTGAAGTTCTGAAGTATACTAAGTAACCTAATTTTTTTTGTAAAATATAAATCAGCTTGAAGGGCAATTATTGGAAGCTGTGGTTTGTACCAAGAAAGATTGAATATCTTTGACCGAATAAGCAAACTTTTTGAAGGCCTTTCAAATCACTTTCTGTTGGATCAAATTGATGCCGAAAATTAGCCACAGAGGGATGAACTGTCCTGTTATTATCGCTGAAGCGTCAGTTGTTAAGTATTCAAAGAGGAAGTAATGATAGGTGTAAATGTGGGAAACCACAAAGCCGAGGTGTTATTTGGATAATACGATTTTATTCAATCATTGCCGAAGCTTTTCGACCTTTATGGTCATTATCAAGGCTACAAAAAGGCAAAACTACAAAAAGCAAAAGTCACAGGCAAGGCAAAACTACTGGCAGTAAGCTACTAAAACTACAAGCGCACAGGAAGTTAAAACATAGTTAAAAACTAGGGGGCTACGCCCCCTGCCCGCTACGCGGCCCAACCCCCCGAAGGCGCTCCGCGCCATCAATGGGCCGCTTCGCGGCCCTATTTTTACCCTTCTATCAGTGTTCGTTTTATTTTTCCCATAAAAAATTACGATATGAGGTATACTTTAATTTTAAACTTTACTTAAAATTACTTTAAAATTAAAAGGACGCATTTTGGAATGACTGCTTGATGAAATATTGCAGTAAAACAATGAACAATGATAGTCAGGTAATAATTAAGATATCATGAGTCGGGGATCGGAACCCACACCGATTTTAAAGAGGACGCCTTCGACGTCTTACAATAGACGACTCGGCCACCGCTCGACATGCGTCCTATGGGGCGAATCTTGTGTAGATAAGTGTAGAGCTGATGCGCAGGCTACACAGCTACTGCGCAACCTCCTCGACCACTGCGTATCCTCCCGCGCATAGCGGTAGCAATACCGGAGCATTCTGTAAACTCACTCACTTTTATAACGTGATTTTAAAAAAACCTGGGTCCTTTTTCCAAAATCTGATTACAGTGGGCTCATCTAGGGCCTATTACCTGTCGATTTACGCAAAAATCATGGAAATCGGGCCGGTAGAACGCTCAAACGAACTATGACAAAAAGTGTAAATTTACATTGTTTAAATGGGAGAATTCGGAACTTTACCACGTAATATAAAAAAACCTGGGCCATATTTTGAAAATCTGAAAAGAGTTGGCTTATCTAGAGACAATTGCCCGTCGATAGCCGCAAAAATTATGAAAATCGGCCCGGTAGAACGCTGGAACTAAGCGTTACCAGTTTCGCAAAATTAGGAGGTCTTGGAGCTTATAGTATAGATAGTAAGTCAGCGAGAGAGCGTGCATGATTGATTAAAGAAGCTAACAAGTAGAATTTAAGTAGCTTCAAGCTAGCAGTAGCTTTCAAGTAGCTTCTTCAATCAATCATGCACGCTCTCTCGCTGACTTACTATTTTTAACTATGTTTTAACTTCCTGTGCGCTGTGTAGCTGTGCTTGTAGTTTTAGTAGCTTACTGCCAGTAGTTTTGCCTTGCCTGTGACTTTTGCTTTCTGTAGTTTTGCCTTTTTGTAGCCTTGATAATGACCATAAAGGTCGAAAAGCTTCGGCAATGATTGAATAAAATCGTGTTATCCAAATAACACCTCGGCTTTGTGGTTTCCCACATTTACACCTATCATAACTTAACTGGTGTTACAGTGATTTTCATCACCATGACCAAATATAAAGAGGAAGTAATCCTGCTTTTCTTCTACTGTTTAGGCACCTTGCCACTCTGTTTTGGAAGACTCACCTCGTTTTTTTGAAGTATATTCATCGGTGTTTCTTCTTTTCCTACGGAGCTTCTGTTAAAGTATTTTAGAAGAAAGGAATGATGCTGTTTCTAATTGTTTGGTGTTTGGGTCCATTCCCATTTATTTTAATAAATTATTATTTTTTTTTTTTTTCAAAATACAATTTATTTTTTTTTTAATGAAAAAGTCCACATCATGCTTTCCCATTTTTCATAAGTAAGTGCCACTTCAATAAAACATTACGCAGACATTTAAATTGTGGAATATGAATAAAAACACAATCTTTAATGGAAAAAAGAAAAAAAATCCCATGCACCTATCGCTACTTAGGAAACGCTGGATTTACGTTAAAAAATAAGGGGGGAGGGGTCAATACAGTGAAGTATGAATTTTGGTCAAAATGAGTATCAAGATTTAATTAATGGTACGTTTCATATTTAATTTAACTTTGTCAGTTGAAAAAATCGTCATACGACAAAAATACAAAATCTTGAAATTCTCGCGTTTTAGCCAATTTTGAGGATTTATAACAAAAAACCGAAACGCATGATGACATGAACAATTTTTTTTCTTTAAAGTGCCCTAACATATGCTCTTACTGTGAAATTTTCAGAGCCCTAGCTCAATTACGATGTTGTTAAAAAAATCGTCAAAATGGGCAAAATTCTGCATTTTGGCCTATTCCGGGGGGTGGTTTTTGGCCGTGCGCAACCCTTAAAAATTTTTTTAGAATTGTTTTCTTTAGTGCAATCTTATTTTTATAAGTGAGGTCAACGATTTACAGGGTACCATCATCAAAATTCGGAGGTGACCCTCAAAGTTGGACACTCTAGTGTATATCAACATTTTTTATTGTAGAGGAGGGACTCCTAAAACTTGATAAACCAACAAACAGGAGGACTTTAGGTTATGTTTCTTTTTCCTCCTTTATCGGGTTGTATCAGCATAGTACTCAATTTTCCTTTTTCTTCCGATGTGAATTTTCGGTTGCCAACTTAAATTCCACATCGAGCGAAAAAGGAAAAGTGAGTACTATGACTTTAGGCTAGTCAGAGGGGGCTCCATCCGAGAAAAAGGGGCCCCAAAAACTTATCAGCACCCCAATAATTTTTGAGCCAAACCGACACAGGAGTGAAGTACACGTGTTCAAACCGCATGTTGAAGCTATCTTTCGAATTTTATAATGCCTCACCCTAGATACACCTATTTAAAAAAATTAGGCCTTGTTAGGGAATTGCGTTCATTTGTAATAATTCCTATATTATTTTAGTTTAGAGACAAGGAGTTTGCTTGCTTATTCAATCATAGATAGTGACTGGTTGTAACTTTTAACGCAAAGATTTACAATAATTTATCTCATTGAAATTTTGTGACTCAAAACGAAAAATTAACTCGAAGAGAAATTGAATAAATGTCTCGACCAGGTATTCAAATGCCCAAATGAGAAATTTTCAAACCACTTTCGTCTCGACCAATTCTGCTCATTTCCAGCGGTTATGAGCGCTTGAACAGAAAAAAATGGCCCCATTAAAGTTATAGGTTTTCCAGTATAAATTCTGTGGCAGTCCAACTTCTCTTCCCTTCTTGAGGGTTGACTTACAACACTTTGGGTTGACTTGAGGGTTGTTAACAAACAGCAATGAAAAGCAAGATAAACCTCTCTCTGAATGATAATAATTGATACTACTTTTACGCGACAGTCAATATCCCAACTTACAGGCTCCCCGGTACCAATAAAGTTTAGGCATGAAAGTAGGGTTTGTAAACCGTAGGGTGGCAGTAATGGTGATCATGATGAAGCCAAATTCGAGTGGTGGTGGCAGATCATGGGTTGAGCTTCGGGACCTGCGGTGAGGGGAGTGAGGGAATTGAGGCACTGATGACGATGATAAAAGGCCTGCCTGTTAACCTCATCATGACCTCTTTCCACCGAGTGAAAATGTCCTTTGAGCCCATCCCTTGCTCCTCTCACACTTCTAGTTCCTCTCGTCTGGCTCAAAGTTATGGGGACTATAGCAAATGCATCCAACTAGAATTTAGTCTTAAAATAACAAAAAGTACTCCAAAACCTACCGATGTACGGATTGCATTTTGCAAATAGGAACCAGCAGGAGCATTCCAATGTCGTTAAGATTGTGCAACTTTTGTTACCCTGCTAATATTAGCTGATCATCTATAGGTTGATGATCATCTAGGTGATCATCTAGGTCCATAGGATAAGGATCTAAGGTTCTTGTTGTATATATACCTGTTTTATCTATCAACGCATTCCAAAGTAAATAAATACTTTTTTCCCCTTCTTCTTCCCCTCAATAGAGTCACATGTTTAAATTAAGTTAATTGGCTCGAAGTTCTTCTTAGCCCTCTTTCCTGAAACGGTTTTTTAAATAATCATTTGTTCAGCGTATTTGCTAGACTTTGACACAATTGGTTCGTATGTTAAAAAAATTCCATGGACCGTGACATAATAGTACTGTAGATAAAACTGCGTGACTGTATTTCAGTGTCGAAATATAATTAAAGCATATGGAACCTGCCTTAAAAACCTTTTTTGAAACGTGTTATGCAAAAAATTACCTGTTTTTAGTGAACGTAATAAAGCAAAAGCAACGATCATAGGACAGTGTAATTGAAGTACCGTTTTTCCCGGAAGTTGCTATCAATTTTCGTGATTTAAATTTCATGCTCATTAAATTGCGGTGCTTTGTCATCCAAAACTATCGGATAGGAGCTCAGCACTCTGAAACAAAATTCAAAAATTCAAGCAATGTGCCAAACCAAGTCACTGGCAAGAACGCATAAACGAATAAACGATATGAACTAAGGTGGCAACTTCTCGTCTATTGCTACGGGCTCGAAAATTAATAGTAGGACGGTGAGTTAGGACATCAGAGGTTAGGGAGACCAGTGGTAGGGTGGTAGAGTGGGCCCTGGGGAAACAGGGGGGTCGAGGAGGGCAGGGGGCGATGTGCCGCATGATTACAGATGTTTGACGTGACATCATCTGCACTCATCTTACACCTGATTCACGTCAACACGTGAGCGGGCCACTTGATAAACTCACCGATTATCGCCCGACCCCGCCCCCTAATTCATAACCGGAGGATCCCCAATCCTCCTTCGAAGGAGCCCCCAACTTGATAGCTTAATTGACTTTCAAGCGCCTCCGGTATTTATTGGTAGCTAATAATTGACGATCCTGTATCAAAAACTGAAAACTTACAAAGCTTGAGACTCTAATGACTTAACCAGGAAGCCACACACCGTAATACTCAAAATGTAACGATTTCAAGAATTATTATGAGAGTGTATCATATACTCTCCGCCGCGACTAGCCAAGGGTACTGCGCCCCCAGGACCCCCGGTCACTTGCTACGCGAGTGACATTCCGATCGCTCCATCGAGCCATTTTTCTGAGTACCCAAGTAGCATTTTTCAATGTAAAAGTTGAAACAATGTTGGTATCAGTTGCAACAAAGTTGCAACTTTCGGTCAACTTTTGGTTGATAAGTGCCGATTTTCGGCGATCTGATCGGAAGACTAAGTTGCAATCTGCTGCGATTGCAAAATTGCTGCACCGAAGTTGTTTAAAATCTAAATATAGGCAACCAGCAATATTTTGATATTGAAACATGTTTCAACTTAATTGCAAGTATTTCCGACAATGATAGCTCCTTCGGGGGAAAGAATAGGCAATCTGCACATCAATCTATTAGTTGCAAAAATCAAACGATTTTGTTGCAACCTCTGCTCCTTGGGTAGTTGAACATTTCATCACTATGATGTACACATTTTGGAGACTCCTGAGACAAAAATGATTTTGTCGCAGAACCTTGTTACCGGAGCGTGCCATCATTTGCATATTAATAAGTATATGAAAGCAATGTTGGGGATCGATCATTTCTGTAAAAACGCATTTGACCGGGACTTCCCATTGGGTGGAGGAAAGTGACAACCGTGGATCTCCTCCCGCGATTTGACTCGCTGAGGTAGCAAAAGTTCCATGGGAATCGGCGTTATTTATGGTTCATTGGTTATTTATGGTCATTTATGGCAAAAGTTCATCTTTACTTCCTGTATAAGAAGATTATCGGTGGCATCGGGGTCTAAAAATTGCTCAACGATACTATAGTTCAAGTTCCGAATCACTATGAGCCCACCTGTGTTGAGTGTTCACCACGTTAGTAGTGTACGCTCTTTCCCGTCGTTTTGCATCGGGTATGTTACTAATGTATCCATTGGTAGAGGCCCGCACTGTTCCATGGGAATCGGCGTTATTTATGGTGGCGGGAAGCAATACCTAGTTTCTCAATTTTTTTTATGTATCGTTTCTACCTTTTTCCTCCTATTTTGTCCACTTTATGTATTGCCTGTAGGCTTGTCTTTGAGAAATTAATATATTTACGTTTTAAAACTCTGCAACGTACTTTTATTTAATGACTTCCTCAAGCATCGTTCGAATTATTTGTCGTCGTAGTTCTAGAAAAATCTTTGGGTACAAAGTACCCCTTCACTAATGACCCCTATATTTTACTTTATGATGACAAGACATTTCTTGTCTATATGTATGTTTCCTAGATTACGCTCCACGTTTAGTTCAACAGCGTCCTTGCAGCGCTCTCTTCCGTCCGCGCAAAACCACTTTTACATATTGACGAGGTGCTACGGTGAACGCTCTCCAACATCTTAACGTTGGAACCGTCGTCCTGTTTTTAAGCGTGCCAGTAGGGCTCGCTTTTTGAAATCACTCGGATGTACCATAGTACAGCACACAGATCAACCAATGCTATTCAACGGGTCGTCCAAATACTTTTTTCCTCGCACCCGTTTCTTTGTCTTTGAACCATTACACTGTCAAGCCCTGATGGTCTTTTACCAAAAAATCTAATGAACTGCTAATTGGAAACCCTTGAGAACATTTTTCTGTCAAAACCGTATTATTCAATTTGACAGAAACCTCATAGGAGCTTTCTTACGCTCGGAGGACTCAACTCTAGAACCTTCTTTCCCGCCAAAACTTTATAGCCAATGAGCGTCTTGCACTGTAAGTGCAATCTGTGATGAGCCTCGTGACACATTATACTATGTACTAACCATGGCCCCTGCCGAAATCCACTTAAACCACTACAGTTATCTCGCGATATAGCTTTGGGTGTCCGGTTTCGAGCAAGGCAATAAAAGACGGCGAGGCGATTAACCGATTAACCATTCACCGTGATGCCAGGATCCACCAAATTTTCTCAAAAATTGTTTTCCGTCTATTTAGCGAGTTTTTCTTTACTTTCCGTTGAAGTACAAATAAAAAGAGACCTCATTTGTACAAATCGGCCGAATAGGAGAGAAGTTACAGTTCGAAATCCAAAGAGATTAACTGAACGCGATTTCGATGCACGGCAGTTCGCCCAAATCACGGTCGTGCGCAAATGCCGCATATCAGCTTAAAATCAAGATAATTGGACGGAATCTTTAAAATTAATTTACATTCAACGTTCATGAATCAATATTTTCTCCCAAATTTAGCAAAAAGTACCAATTGATGCAAAAAGCAAAGACGTGAAAATAAGAGGTATTTGTCCAACATTTCAGTTATTCGGCACGCTTTTCCAACATACTCATGTTGGATTTTTTCTTCTTGTTTTCTTATACTTTCATTGCTTATTTTCTCTGATGTTTTTTTTTATATTCTCTCTGATTGCAGAAGTAAAATAGCTTTCCCTGGTATACATTTGATGCTTCAAACGGAACCAATTTGTTTTATTAATGACATTTCCGGCTATATCATGTGTATAATCCCAGGAAGGCAGCCACTAGTCCCTCCCAGACTCCACTGTTGCCAGATAAGTTGCTTTTTCAACACTTTTCCCAGTTCAAACCCATGTAAAATATTCACATTTATCGCACAATCTGGCAACCTCCTCGAGTGAAATAGAAAAAGGTAGAATCGTCTCAAAAGTTGAATCCTTCAAAGTTTATATATAGAAGTTTGTGTACAGGGTGTCCCAAAATGCCGTACCTCTCTTCGTAACTTTTGAACGGTTAGAGATAGAAAAACGAAACTTTGGGAAGGTTTCTGTCTCAAAGGGGACCATCTTCTAGGGGATTCAAAGTTTGTATCCCTCCCTCAGGGGTGCGGGGGGGCCCCCAACTTTTTTCTCGAATGGTAACCCCTATCTTGTGATACGTCATTAGAAAGAACATAAAAAACTATGAATTTTGGCGCAAACCGCAGATCAGTATCTTAATTTTTGACCGAGTTATGATAGATTAAAGGTCAAATTTGACCTATTTTCAAAAAATCATTACTCCGGTTCAAATTATCGCAAAGAAAACTATAAAACAGAGAAATTCTCCAAATTGTAAGCACTTCAAGTAAAAATCACAGAAATCACTTCAAACTACTTTTATGGGAGGTTTCGGAACCCCAAATACGTCAGTTTAAAGATCATACGAGTTTCCCGCGTTTTGAGCCCATTTCCCTTAACTTTGCCTCAACATTATCTTCATGGTGGGTTTAAATTAGCTCAACATTGCGTTTTCAAGTCCCCAAATGTCGGGCAGAGTTCTAAAAACGAAATTTACGGTGATTCAATTGAACCGTTGAATTTTTTTTTTTTATTTTTAAACTTTGCCCGAAATTTGGGGACTTAAAAACGCAATGTTGAACTAATTTTGAACTTACCAAGATAATGTTGAGGCAAAGTTAAGGGAAATTGGCTCAAAACGCGGGAAAATCGTATGACCTTTAAACTGACGTATTTGGGGGTCCGAAACCTTCCTTAAAAGTAGTTTGAAGTGATTTCTGTGATTTTTACTTAAAAGTGCTTACAATTTGGAGAATTTCCCCGTTTTATTTTTTTCTTTGCGGAGTCATGAATTTTGATTGGTTGAAATTTTTGGATGAAATTTCATGATTTTTTGAAAATAGGTCTTTAACCTTTAATCTATCATAACTTGGTCAAAAATTAAGATACTTATCTGCAGTTTGCGCCAAAATTCATAGTTTTTCATGTTTTTTCTAATGACGTATCACAAGATAGGGGTTACCATTTGAAAAAAAAGTAGGGGGCCCCCCGCACCCCTGAGGGAGGAACAATAATAATTTTGACCCCTGTACAAGATGGTTTCCCTTAAGATAGGAACATTCCCAAAGTTTCGTTTTTCTATCTCTAACCGATCAAAAGTTACGAGGAGAGGTTCGGCCTCTTAGGACACCCTGTATGTATATAATTACAGTAATACCGTCCGTTGCAGGCTCAGAGGATCAGAGTTCTTGAAAAGCGTGCCGTGCGTAGCTCTGAGCCTCCGACTACTCTAGGTGCTGCACTCGTAACTTTTGGCCTCTCAGCCTGCAACGAACAGTAATGTCAAATAGTTTGTAAGCACGGTTAACACGCCCGAAGTTTATCTCTTTTTTTCAGTGTAGTTGAAGACATACCTTTCCTCTTCGTCTTGTGCTTGATATTTTCATAGAATTTTTTCACACAGGTTAGACAAATGAGGCACGTTTTCAAGAAGCGATTTTAAATAATTTTCCATTAAAAAAATAAAGTCTACGAAGTAAAGTAATTATAAATATGTAAATAAAAAATGAAATTAAAAAATATTGTAAGTGAACGCGTTCCCGCAATGTCACAGTTGACATTTGACTCCATTATTTGCGTGTACATTGTGTCCAAATCTTTAAGAAGAAGAAAAGTCAGCAGGTGAAAAATCTACCCGTCAACTTACATACCTTCTAATTTTAACAACCAAAGATTCAGCAAATCCTACACTGATTTCGAGTATAAATACTGGGATTGCATTCTGAGCGTATCATGCAATGATGCATTTTTCAAAATAAAAACAATGCAGATGATCAAAATTTCGCCTGATGAATCGCACGAACTGACAATGTTGTTGAAGGTTGCTCACGATACAGCGACTGATTTGATTCAAAGAGTCGTATAAGCGTCCCTTGTCGAAAAGTTTGGATAAAAAGAATCAAATTACACGGAACTTGAACCATAGCAAAATTTCATGGCTGGTTTGCCAAGCACAGACGAGGAGTCAAATTCGTAAGCACTGCGAATCGACGAATCGGTAATAACATTATGATAAGGTCGGAGATGATTATTGAGGCGCACTCTACCTTAAAGTGGGGTGATAACGCACTTACTAAACAAAGTGATAAAAAATACAGGAGGGGGAACCTTTCCTCTGTATGTTATGTAAAACGAAATTAAGGGGTTGTGTAGTCGGCGAGGACTTTTCAACATGAAAGAACATCCCCTCTCGAGATAGAGTGGCGACGAGCAGATTTCCAGGAGGGCTGTCTGGGTCGGACCTGACGAGCAACTTCATTTAGGATTTAATTCATCTGAATTAAAATAGACAAAAGACCTGGGGGTCACGTGACCGTAAACCACACACGCGACTACCAACACCATCCAAACCTCGCACATGATCCAAACCTCCAGACCGCTCCAGCTCTCCAGTCTCAACTATTTATCTTTTTTAAACTTCACTTTCAATTAATATTTAGGTGTGAGACAGGCGCTCCATTTAATGAACAAATCTATTCCGGATTAACTATTTATTGACGGGTACTCGACATTTGTCTATTGATGTCTGTGAGTGTGAGCCATTATTATATCCCTCTCTGAATCGCTTAGTGGCATCAGAGCTGCCAGCAAAGACCAAAAACGAACGATTCATTAACATCTCCGATACGAGTAATCCCCAAATTGCACTCGTAATTTCCGTTTTTACGGCCACCATTTTACTCACGTCTGCGAACGGATGAGAATTATTCGAGCTAGGGAGTTTTTAATGATGCACGAAGATTTCTTAAATAAGAATTGACATTAACGAATGAAAGGTTCTTCGTGAATTAAAGCGATTATTTGAAAAAGGGCGTAGCCGTCAAATTTGTATAAATTGAGTTTTTGGTGGAATACTATTCTTGGAGGGTAAGTACGGCTTTCTATACTACCGAGCGCACCAAAATTTCTCTTTGAGGTCGTTTTTTTATTATTAAACTAATAGGCAATGTAGGATGCTCAGGAGCAGTAATAATTGCTTGCAGCAGTCTGAGGATTCGGTTTAAGTTCTAGAAGTAAAGTGCGATACGGAACATTGCGCTCATTCTCATCGGTTCGCCTTCAAATCAGCTGGTGGGCAATGTAAGCGGCTTAAGAGCAGTAATTGTTGCTTGTAGGAGTTGTAAGTAGGTATTTTAAAAAATTCACCAGTGGTTTCAGTTCTAGAGACTTAATCAATCCACTCACGATGTTCCACGCTAATTATCACTAGTTCGCCTTCAATTAGTTAGTATAGGCAATGTGAACGGCTCACAGGAGGATAGGTTACTTGAGGAAAATAAGCGTAACTGCCAAATTTTCAGAAATTGGGCTATCGACGGAGTACAATTTTTTGAAGATGGACGTATCTTACCATCTGGCGATTATATCAACATTTCTCTTCAACGTCTTTTTTCAACATTTGAATATCTGTTTCAGTGGGAAAAGAGCGTAATTTTCGACCCACCTCTCCTAGTGCTGGGTTTGCCTCGTCATTGTAAAAACCATGCATGAGGGCACACATTATGATTTTCAATACAGACATTGAATATCGTGCATGCTATTTAATTGTCATAATACTAACCTAACTCCCGCTTAATGGAAGTACGTCGTATGAACATTCGAGAGTTGTCAAATGTCCCCGAATAAAGCATATTAAAGCACGCGTTTTCACAATAAAGTTACACGTATTTTTCTTTAAAATTTTCAGAAATTGTCGATTAAATTGTCTGAAACATTGTCGGAAAAATATTCCAAATTTTTCTGGTGAAGTTTCTGATTTACTGAAGGAGACATGGCATCGCCTGAATGCTCATACGGCGTTCTTCCTTCACACGGCAGCATGGATGGAGTTTAACGCCTATTTTCCTTTTCAAAATATTTCCTTAGACTTTGAACTCTTAAAAGGAGGCTAAAACTACTTGTATTACTCATACCCCCTCCCCTAAAATGTGACTTAGTGCCTTTCTGATTGATTCAGTCCATTTCCTACCGCGGCAATATGGGATTGGGGGGGG